ATAAGAGTCCAGCTGGCCAACACCTTGATTTTAGCCTTATGAGACCTAAAGCAGGGAACCCAGGCAAGCCCACCCAAACTCTAACCCACAGAAATTTAAGCTAATAAATGTGTATTGTTTGAAGTGTTTCAGTTTGGGGGTTATTTGTTACACAGCAGTAGAAGACTAATACATCTAGGTGGACTTCCCCGGTGGTGCAGTGGTTAAGAATCCGCCTGCTGATGCAGAGGACATGGCTTCAATCCCTGGTCCGGGAAGATCCTACATGCCGCGGAGCAACTGAGCCTGTGCGCCGCAACTACTGAGCCTGTGCTCTAGAGCACCAGAGTACCCGTGCTCTGCAACAAGAGAAGCCACCACAACGAGAAGTCCGCGCACCACAACAAAAAGTAGCCCCCGCTCACTGCAACTAGAGAAAGCCTGCGCGCAGCAACGAAGGCCCAACACAGCCAAAAATAAATTAATTAATTTAAAAAAAACACTTAAAAAAAAAGAAAACTAATACATTTAGAAAATGTGTGTTACAAGATGATTCACAGCTTGAAAATATGCAGCTTTTGCAGATGCCACTCCAGGTCTCAAAGTTCTACATCTCCACTGGGAGACACAGGTGTGCCAAGGAGGTAACGAAGCTCGGGGATGCGAGGAACTTTGGCAAGTAACCCAGGCAATATTATGTTTGCTCAGCACCTAAGCAGATCTGAGCCTATGGGATTTCCAAGTGTGAACATTTTGGAAGTTACTTCCTGACTCTTCCTTGTCCTCTCCTAGCTAGTGGGTGGCCTTGGGGGGGTCTATCTGATGACACGCACAGCTTATTAGTTAGCTCTACAGTCTAGTGGGTTAAACAGACGTGAGTGAAACACAACATTACGAGATTTCAACGGTGACACAAAGAAGTAAGTGACACTAGAAGAGCCTAAAAAGAGGAGGATTTGACCTCTTCATGGAGGCTGGGAAAGGTTTCCCGAGGAAGTGGAACTTGAACTGTGATTTTAAGGTTGATTTGGCATGTATAAAACAGAAAGAGGTCAAAAGAATGTCCCAGCGTATGCAAAGGCCCTGCGTGTATTCCTTTGATTTTCCCGTGCTGTGCCTTCAGAGGAGCCCTGGACAGGAATCAAGAAGGGGCATGGTGTGGGCCTGAGACAAAGCACACCAGGTTTCAAGTCCTCAAAGTCGACCGAAACCTGCAGAGAACTGCTTGCAACAGTAGGACTCAGAATAAGAAGCGGGGCTAAGAGGATTGGAATGGCACGTGAGAGATGACAAATAGAGATGTTGCAGAGGTCCTCAGTATCTCCATGTCACTACAATCAATGGACATTTTTCAGTCCTCGTCTGAACGAGCACGTGAATGTAAGGGACTGAAAGAAAGTCAGGGATGTTAAGAAAAGATGAGAGTGGACTTTGATCTTGATCTGAGGAGCAGTGCAAACCTTTGAAGGTGGTACCATGCTCATTATTCTACAGTCATCACTGGCAAGAGGGCACAGACCTTCAGGAGCAAGGTGATGGTAGCGTGAACCAAGTTGGTGGTGATGGAGATAAAGAGAAATGGATTCAAGAGATACTTAGGAAGTAACACTGAGAGACATGGCAATAGATTATAATGGGGAGGCTGGATTATGAGGGAGAGGGAAGAATTCATGGTGACTTCCAGGTTTCTGGTCTGTGCAACTAGATGAATGAGAGAGAGAGTGCCATTCACTGAGGGGAAAAGATCATTTGGAGCTGGGGAAGCGGGGAGTGAATAGTATTAATTAAATGTGACATGCTGAACTTGAGCTGAGTTTGTGATCTTCCAGTGGAGACATCCAGTAGGCAGTTACATATGTGCATCTCAGACTCAGGAGAGTTCTGGTACAGGGATGAATTTGGGAGTCATGACAAGTACAGCCATGAGTGTGAATGAGATCATCCAGGGCAGCGGAAGCCATAAAGGATCTTCCACATTTCAGTTCTACAACAATTTTAGCACCTGTTTTTCTAGTACTTTTATGATTTCATTTTCCTCTATTGAAATATCTTATCCCACTGAAATTGTTTTGGCATAAAATGTGAGGTGGGGACCCACATTATTTTTTTCTAAATGGAGACCTGGTTGCCCCACCATCATTTATTGAATAATCTTTTGCTCACCAATCTGATTGCTCCCTTTATCATATGCTAACTTTCCTATGTATTTCGATCTATTTCTAGACTCTTATTCAATTTCTCCAATCTCTTCATCATTCACATGCTGGTACCACATGTCTTAATAATTACAGTTTTTAGGTATGCTGGCATCTGATAGGGCAAGTCCTGTTCATCATTCTTCTTTTGTGAATGGATCACTCCTATCTTACCTTCTAACAGGTTCTCACGGGTGTACACTAAAACTGTAGATTTCTATATATTAATTTTATACCAAATCGCTATATTAAATTCTCTGATTATTTGGAATAGTTGCCTCTCCATGTGATTTTCTTGGCTAAGCAATTAAACCGTCTACAAATAATGATGATCTTCTTATCACCCTTTATGCAATCTAATTTATTTTTATTGTCTAATTGCATTGCCTAGTTACTCCAGAATCATGAAAAAATAATAGAGCAGAGGTCAAAAAAAAAAAAAAAAGCAAAGACTGACCAGTTAAACCACACACAGATGTAAATTCTGCCTCACAAAAAGCACAGTAAGCAATGCCAAAAGTGAAATAAAGTAGGAGAAAGTATTTGCAGTTCATATCACAGATAAGGGGGTGATATATTTGATATGTAAAGACTTTTTAAGCATACCTGAAAAGACAAATTATTCAATAAAAAATGAACAAAAACATATTAACAGACAGTTCACAGAAAGGAAACACAAATGGCTCTTAAACAAAGGAAAATATGCTCAACTTCACTCAAAAAATTACACTGAGATACCATTTTTCACTGATTCTACTGTGTAGGTGAGGCCACCTCTAAGATGGAGAGAAATCTGTAATATCTATCAAAATTGGAGAGATATACTTAGACTCAGCAATTTCAATTCTAGAAGCAGATTGTAAGAGAGACCCTCACATGTACAAATGCCTATATACAAGGATGTTCCATGCAGGGCTCTTAGCAATAGCAAAAGACTGGAAATAATCTAAATGCCTATGAGTAGTAGTCTTGTTAAATAAACCAGGATGTTATATTCATACAATGGAATACTATGCAGCAATTAAAAAGGAAAAGGTAGCTCTATATTCACTTATTCATTCATTCAAAAATATTTATTAAGCATGTACTTTATTTTGGGGACAGTTTTCAAGCTGGGAATATAGCAATGAACAAAACAGATGAAATTACCTGCCCCTTTGGAGGTTACATTACAAGATGTTAGATGGTGGAAAGTACCAGGGAGCAAAATAAGGATGGGAAAGGGGATGGTCATGTAGACTGTCCCTCAGTTGGGATATGTCTGACGTCTTTGTCATGATTAGACTGGGGTAATGGGTTTGGGGGAGGACAACCTGAGAGGTCAAGTGCCACTTGAGTCACAGCTCACCGAGGGCACATACACAACTTTCACTGTTGGTGTGGACCCTGATCACCTGGCTGAGGCAGTGCTTGTCAGCTTCCTATTATACTTTTTAATTATAGCTTAATAAAAAATTTTTAAAATTCATTTTTAAAAAGTCCCCTGGGGAACAGATGGCCAGGTGGTTGCAGGCTCTTCTCTTAGCGTGGTAAACAGAGTGCTGTTGGTAGGCAAGACACTTTTATGTGGTTACTTGGGGGGGTCCAGAGGACAGGGCGGTGCTGTGCAGCCTTCCTAGCCTCAAGTTAAGGCCTCAACATCTAATTCCAAACACGACTCTCACACAACACTGAGCAATTGAGGAGAAAAGCCTCTAGGAGGCGCCAGAGACCAGAAGAAGAGCCTTTTGACACTTCAGGATGGATATGGCCTCCCAGAGAATCTGAGGCAACTTAAAACAAAGCTTGGAACATGGAAATGAGCAGAACATTGCAGAAAGGATTTCTGAGTGAAGAGCTTGAGGTTCCTAACTCCACCCTCCCGAAAATGTGTCCTGAGGTAAGAACAGGAGTTGACAAGTTCCAAATAACTTCAGTTTGAAGAGAAGTACATGGACAGGAAGAGTGGGAGGCGGGGAGCAGGCAGTTAGCAAAGATGTTGAAGAGAAAACCCTGATTGTTCAAGCCTCTCCATCCACCTCAGGGCCTCACAGATGCAAAACGGACTGCAAGGGCTCATCAACATTCAACGGGCTCTGAGGTGAGAGAGCAGAGCCCAAAGCCCTGGGCAGCAAGAGTCACACCTTTCCAGCCAAGTTCCTCCTCTTGGCCACACCCATGCCTCTGGCTTCCAAAAGTCTTGGCTCCAAAGGACATCAAAGGGAACCAGGTCCCAGAGAACTAAGAAGGATACTGGAGAGAATTTATCCCCATTAAGGTGTAACCAATGAATAAAAACCATCCAGCCTGCCAGAAGAAACATGGCAACTCAGCAAATAAAATAGAGAAATGGCAACTCTGTAAATAAAGGGAAAAGGGGCAATTATGCAAATAAGGTAGAAAGTAAAACTATGCAAATAAAACAGAGAGAGACAGAGAGAGAAAGAAAGAGAGAGAGGAAGAGAGGAAGAGAGGAGGGAAGGAAGAAAGAAAAGAGATTTCTGTTGTTTGAGGCTGACAGCTGAAGGCGCCCATTAAAGTGAGAGCAAAGGGCTAGGAGCCTACAAGGAGAGAAAGGGCATGAGAGGAGACCACAGCAGACAAGGAATGTGTATGAAGTTGAGGAAGATGGAAAGCAGGTGGATGAGTGGTAAGTGGCACAGCAGAGCAGAGAAGGCTAAAGCCAACCAGAGCGAGGTCAATTCACAGCATACAAGCCCGGAAAGGCTCCGGGGCTGGCGGGCAACAGTCAGGGTGGCGGTATGCCTGGCAGGGCTGCACAGGGGACGGGTTGAAAGTCTGCATGAGAAGTTAGACCCCTCCTGATTCCCTCCCTGAGACTTACTACCTCGAAAGGTTGAATCCAGAGCCTTCGGTTCAGGAATTCAGGCACAAGTGAAGGCAGGGGCAAACTGTCAAAAAGCAAACAGGAGGGTTAAAGCACAGTGTGTATCTGGAGCGCAGAATCCCATCCTCTTCCCTCCTCTGGCTCCGGGGCCTCTGACATCCACCTGGTTTATAGACGCCCCACTCCAGCACCCCAGGCAGGAGATTGGAGCATCTCATTGGGAAGATGGACAGGCACAGCAGCAGGGCCACGAGTGTAAAATTTAAGGGGACCCCCAAAAATGTAGTCATCAAGATGAATATAGTTTTAAAAAAGTAAAGTCCCTGATGGACTATGTATCAGTATTAAATAACGACAGAATCGGACCCTGCACTTGCAAAGCAGTGTTTCACCTGCCTCACCCCATCCCGGCTCTGGTTCCAAGAAAACTTGATTTACCGAAATAGGCAACCAGCCTGAGGACCAGAGTTTGCCTATTTGATTTTTAAAATACAGCATTAAGATATTATGTATGTTGATTGCTGAGCTTTTGGGGACCCTATCTCCCTGAAATTCTCCACCAAACCAAGTGCTTCACTCTCCTCACCCTAGCCCTGGCCCTGCACCACAACAAAGATCCCCAATCACACTGGCACACCCTAACCAGAAGCTGGCTCCCATCCTAGGCTGGGACCTATCCTTGGGAAGGCCAGTCCTTGCAGCTGAAGCTTCTCATTAGCTGTTTGGTGTCTCACTCCTGAGTATGAAATAACCGTCAGCGCCAGTCACCTGGAATTCACCCAGCATCAAAGAAAGATGGACACAAGCAAAAAGAAAAGACAAATCACAGACACAGCAATTGATAGAATCAGGTCTTCTGGCACCTAGGACAGTCGTTGATGCTTTATTTTCTTAATGCAGATCCTGTCTTGTACAGATGCTCAATCCTCCCTCTGCAATTCTGAAATCCTTAAAAATCTGAGCACCAGAAGATTTTCGGGCTTTATCGTAACTTATTTGGCAGCAAAACCTGATCCAAACTGACCTAAGGTTAGTATGATCTTTATTTATCCACTTAGCAGGAGCCCTCTGGTTTCACGGCAGAAATCACCATTGTGCGTAAGCATCAGGGCTGCCGTTGGCCCATCGGAAGTATTCTGTAATAAATCCTGTATGTACCGTCTTCTCTTGCTAAAATACAAACTCTGAGCTTTGACACAATTCTGGCCTACAGGTTTCAGGTAAGGGACCGTGAGTTGATATTTAAGCCTCCTTCACTGGAAACACATTAGCGATTCCTGAATTGTCCTTGGCATATATTAAATCAGAAAAGAGAACGTGGTTGTCAATGGGACCAAGTTATGACTTTCATGGGCCTGAGATACTTTGGCCCTCATGTGCCCCTTCCTCCATAAAAAAAAGAAATAGTAAAAATTATATTTTATGACCACGTTGGTATAAAGACAAATATAATCCAGGCTGGAATATATTCATTCTTTTGCTGATTTTTAAAAGAAGTTAAAATCTTTGCTTGTAGCATCATGGGCCCGAGGTCCTGTGTCTTCTGTGCCTAAAGTGAGATTGGCCCTGGTTGTCAATGATGGCATCTTGGGGCTCAGATCAGGTCCCCAGAAACTAGACAAGATAAGTAGGAGACACTTACTGAAAAGCAAGGTAAATATTAGATTGGGAGAGGCTGAAGGGAAGGCCGAGGGTTGAGTGTAAGTGGCAGGAAAGAGGACCAGAAAAGGAGAGTGTTGCAGGTTGAATTATGTCCCCCCAAAATGACATGTTGACGTTTTAGCCTCTACACGTGAACGTGATCTTATTTGGAAATAGGGTGTTTGCAGATGGAATCAAGTTAAAATGAGGTCGTACCAGACTAGGATGGGCCCTAATTCAATGACTGATGTCCTTATAAGAAGAGGGAAGTGTGGACACAGACACACTTCGGAAAGAAGACCATGGGAAGATAGAGGCAGAGATTGGAAGGATGCAGTTACAAGCCAAGTAACGTCAAGACCTGCCGGCCACCCCAGAAGCTGGGAGAAAGGCATGGCCCAGATTTTCCCTCTCAGCCTCCAAGAAGGAACCCACCTTGTTGACAACACCTGGATTTCAGACTTCCGGCCTCCAGAATTGGGAGAGGATAAATTTCTGTTGTTTTGAGTCACCAGATTGGTGGTACTCTGCAACAGCAGCCCCAGGAAACAGATGGGAAAAGCAGAGAGCAGGGGAGTAAGTGCTGACCGGTGGAACCCACTGCTGAGACAAGTTCAAGCTGCCAGAAAAAGCCCTTTGGTCAGGCCAGTGAGCTCAGTGCATAGCACACCCTGCTAAGGATGACTGGGTCTACATGGTCTCAATCTTTCGCTGGTGCTGCCTTGGAACACACAGAAAAAAAAGAAATCAAGACCCATTTCTTTAAAGAAAGCATATGGGGCTGCCCTGGTGGCGCAGTGGTTGAGAATCTGCCCGCTAATGCAGGGGACACGGGTTCGAGCCCTGGTCTGGGAAGATCCCACATGCCGCGGAGCAACTAGGCCCGTGAGCCACAACTACTGAGCCTGCGTGTCTGGAGCCTGTGCTCTACAACAAGAGAGGCCGCGACAGTGAGAGGCCCACGCGCCGCGATGAAGAGTGGCCCCTGCTTGCCGCAACTAGAGAAAGCCCTTGCACAGAAACGAAGACCCAACACAGCCAAAAATTAATTAATTAAAGTACCCTTAATTTTAAAAAAAAGAAACCATATGAATCACACGCAAAAATGCAATTTGCGGGCTTCCCTGGTGGTGCAGTGGTTGAGAGTCCGCCTGCCGATGCAGGGTACACGGGTTCGTGCACTGGTCTGGGAAGATCCCACATGCCGTGGAGCGGCTGGGCCTGTGAGCCATGGCCGCTGAGCCTGCGCGTCCGGAGCCTGTGCTCCGCAACGAGAGAGGCCACAACAGTGAGAGGCCCGCATACGGCAAAAAAAAAAAAAAAAAAAAAAATTTGCTTCACTTCCTGCACCCTGCCGAATATATAGCATTGCATGCTACTGAGGAAGTAATTTCACAACCGTTTTTCTGGTTTCCACGGCAAATCAGATCTTTGGTTGGGTCCATGGTATACGATAAGCCCATCATCTCCTTCGGGCTCTGAGGGAACCAAACGGCACAACGAAAACAACCTATCTCAGTCCCCACCCACATCTTCCTTTTCACCTTGGGCCCCAGTGGACACCAAAAACATAACTGTGAAAGGCCAGTGCGGTTTCAGGAACAGCTCAATAAAGCCTGCCTTAGCTGAGTGCACCCTGGGAGTCAGAGTGAGCCCAGGAGCCACGCTCAGAGCCCAGCCCATGGGGCGAGAGCTGTAGGCAGGGCAGAGACCACAAGTGTGGGGTGCAAAGGCAGCAAACCCCACCATGCAAGGCTAAACTAAACCCTGCAGGTTTTACCATAACACAATCTAGGGTGAAGGTGGTCTGTGAGGCATCTAAAGCTGCCTTCCTGGAACAGACAGCTTTTTATCTTTTCACACCCCTTTCCTAGCCTGCAAGCAGCGATGTTGCAAAGCTGCCCCCTCCCTCCTCCCTCTTCGAAAGCTTCCTTTCCTAAGAGGTGATTTGCCTCAGACCACCTCCCCAGTTGCACCCCTTCCTCAGAATAGAGCCTGCTGATGCCCCCCTGACATGAAAGGATCAAGGGTACCTATTGATTGTAAAATGTGATGAATCCGTCCAACTGAATGACTTCGCTGTTTGAGCATGACGCAGGATTCCACCAGAACTAAATGTTTGCCAAACTGGAAATATTTCTAATTTTTCATGGGTTCTGATGTGTTTGCAGTTGATATACTGATATTATGTATATTGATATATTGATATTATTGATATTATGAAAGTACATTAATAAAGAAATGGCTGGGCACACAGAATTTGTCGCCTTACATGAAATTTACAGTTAATAATAGATACTTGACTTGATCCATTCCACGTTTGATGGATTCACTAACAGCTCTGGAAGACAAAAGAAACCACTACCACATTAAATGCACGTATCAATTTCACACGCATAAAAATATGAAAAATTATGCTGCTTGAATTCCAGGAAATACGGGAGCGTGCGTTTGTTGAGTGCTTTATCATGAAGCAAACACTGGGAGCACAAGTCATGCATTTTCTTGTCTGAGCTTCATAAAAATCAGTGAGGTGGGTGCTATCATAAGCCCCCATTTTACAGACATGGAACCTGAGGCTCAGAGGCTCATCTACCCAAGGTCACTTAGATGGTAGGTGGCAGACCGGAAAATTGAGCCTAGAGGTACCCACGTAGTTAACAAATTGGTACCAAGTGGCTGGTTGGCAGTGATCTGGTTTCAATTTTTGGCAGAAACACCAAAGCCATACCTGGAACCTTCTGGAATTAAATGCTGGGGGTATTACCCACCTTGCCTTTCCACCGATCAGTCTAACAGAGAGCACTTCCAGGTGCTCTGTAATTCCACAGAACAACTGGAAATCCACTGATTCTAGACATATTCACCAGCTAGCGGCTCTTCGTAACCACCTGAAGAGTCAACACAGCCTGTATTGCTAATGCCGATCGAGAACCATGGGTTATGCGTTTAAATGTACTGTGTCTGCATAGCCCTGAATAGTTCTAAATTGGGGATAATACTTTAAAAAATAACAAATCCCTCAACTCCATTTAGTAACTCAGTTGAACTCAAATGGTACTTCACTGGAATGACATCCCCCTCAGTAGACCCCAGAGGCGATGCTGAGACACACAAATAATATCCAACTGAGTTTCCAAGCCTGACCCTGGGTCATGACGTCCTCCCCTGCGAGACATACCCTGATACGGTCAGTCTGGGTTTCCATGGGACTGCCTTCTCTCTCATCAACCCCCGTGCAGTTTGCAGGACTATTACACGAAAGAATGAGAAGCAGAATGAAGAATGGACTTGATCAAGTGCCCTCGCCCTGATCCACTGCCTCGGCTTTTCAGATAAGGCATACAAGGAACTTTGATTTTGCTATCTGGAATCAAGCTAAGGGGCTAATGAATAAGCTTTGGGTCTTCCTGGAGGCCTTGTCAGCCCCTAAAAAAGTCTGTGCTCCTTAAGGAAAGGACCAAAAAAGCTGTTCAGATGCTGCCCGAAGACAGTGGCCCTCAACTTCAGCTGCCCATTGAGATACCTGGGAAGTTGAAAAGCTACGAATGCCCCAGCCCACTCCAGAGATGCTGATTCCATTAGTCTGTGGTTCAGCCTGGACAGCGGGATTTTTTAAAGCTCACTCTGTGATTCTAGTATACAGTCAAGGCTAAGAACCTCTCTCCCCGAGGCCAGGAGTCGACTAGGTTCTTGCCTTCCACCCTCATCAATGACGGGGGCGGGGGGGCATTTTCCCAGTTTAGTTTTATTTTATCTTATTTCCACTTTCTTATAATACAATTATATTGGCTATCACAGCAGTTTACAAATATCAAGTCAAAACTGGATACGTTCAAATGCAATTCCATCTATGTCATTGGACCTGCTGGCCTAATTCCTTATGAGCCCTTGCAGTCATTTTGTAAAGCATCAATTTCAGGGTAGACTTAATTTACTTTCAAGGTCTATAATGTGCATTCACTGGATACAAAAAATGAACTTCAAGAACTTATATATACATTAAATACTGGTAAAAAAAATAACTCCAAGAACTTCAATAAGCACTAAACGAGCGTGGAAAAAAAGATACTAAGGTAAATGTGGGATGGGAGTCTCTTGAAATCAGTCTTTGCAATGGCTCTTAAATCTCATTCAATTTTCTAGAAAACATACCATTTTTAAAAAATTGTAAAGATTGAAAAATTTTCAATCTGACAGTTCCTGACGCTAACAAAAGCTGACCACCTGCTATGTCTAAACACTATAGAATATGATTACGGAAATACTAACCTCTTTACTTAAAAACTCTGAACAAAAAAGTAGCAATTATGAATACACATTAAGCTCCTGGTAGTAGATGAAGTTTGGACTTTGCCCAGGCACTAGCAAGCGACCCGGAGTGAGCCAAGAGAGGCTGTCCTTTTCTGTGCAAAGAGCAAAGGACAAACACCTCCCCACCTGCTTTACCCCCAGCCCTTTCACTCTAGATGAGGATACCATTTCTGGCAGGACCAGAAAGTCATACCCCAGTTCAATTCCTAACTTGGAATTTGCTTCTTTTCCTCTTGAAAATGATAAGACCACTGCATTTGATTTTTGAAATTTCCTGCACACTGGACCACTCTGTCTACATTTAGAGTTGCCCCAAGACTTCGCCTTTTTATATTGACTTGCCCATCCATCACTTTCTTTGGTCACACCATTTGCCACCAAACCCTATTTCGGGGTCAGAAATCCTCTATTTTCTTGGAAAGCTTTGTTAAAAGAATAGAAGGAGCTTACCACTCTTCTGGGGTCGTCCTTCCTAATTGCTCATTCTAGAACCTGCAGTGCTGCGGAGTGGCACCCACTGTGCTACGGGCGCACATGGACAAAGAAACTAACCAACTTCCTAAAACTGGCCGCTTTACCATCAGCAGAACCTCGCCTGTGGTTTGCAAAAGCTTATGTGGGAAGAAGGGAACTTGTGATTTCGTAACTGTTGCCAAATCATTTATTAACTATGCTGTAAAATTTCAAAACTGAAATGGGGGCGTGTAGGAAAAAGTCATTTATAAAATGATTTAAATATAACCCGAGCCAGATCGATCCGGTGCATTTTTGTTAGTTTGGGTTTATCTGTGTGTATGTGAGGGTGGGTGAGGGGTGGCTAAAAGGATCCTCAGCAAAATGTTAAGAGCAGTGAGCTCTGGGAAGCAGGACTGGGGGGAAATGAGGGAGAAATGGGGAAATTTTTCCTTTTCCTTAAAAAATTTTAGTGTCTTTTCTTCAACTTTGCCACAAATGTGTACTTGATTTAGGATTGCACAAACTCATTTTTTCTCATAGAATTCATGGATGTAGTTCAATAACATCTGCACCGCTTCGTCTTTGTTCCACACATTTCCAGGACAGCACGTGGTGAGGTGGGCCTGGGTCCCTCACCAGGCAGTGGCCACAGGGTGTGCATCTCCCTCCTGGGTGTCCCTGCACCTCGGCCAGTACCCGGCACATATTATAAGCTCAATAAATGTCCACTGAATGAGTGAGTGAATGGATGAGCAGAAGCATGAGGCAGGAAAATTTAATTTCCTGATTTGCTCTGATAAGTCAATTGGATTTTAAGCTCTCACAGAGAAGGCCCTGGAAGGTTTAGCCACAAGCAGGAGTCAGCAAACTCCAGCGTGTGGGCCAAATCTGCCCAGGGAGTAGAGAATGATTTTCACACATGAACATCTGCCATCGATCTGATGAGACAGAACACTAACTGTAAACTCCAATGAGGCAAAAAGTTAGCATCCCCCCACCAAAGAATCCCATTCTTCTCATTATTAGGCCTATAGCACAAAAACTGCATTTGATGATTAATGTTTTAAATGTTATCAATGAAATAATTGTGTAATGTGCTTTTCTCTTATTCTATAAGGACCTACATAATGCCCTCAATTGGCCTCTTGGCCTGCAAAGCCTAAAATGTTTACTTTACAGAAAATATTTGCTGACACCTGGCCAAAACAATAGTCTAGAATGGGATATAATGTGCTTCATATTGCCTTCCTCTCCTTGAACTGGAGGAAACCACATTGGGGACAGGGTGGTAGGGACTGACATTTTCTCTTTCTCTCTCTCTCTCTCTCTCTCTCTCACACACACACACACACACACACACACACACACACACACACACACACATTATTGTTATCATTTTTCCCTCAAGCCCTTGGTCTGCCTCTCTTGCATAACCTCTGTAAGACAATGTACGGGCTTTGAAAACCCTCTAACCACTGGTCCCTCAGGTGATTCAAGGCGTGACACATGGTGTGGGAAGGGATTCCTATGACGTCAGAGAACACGGCCCGTGGCTTCGTGAGCTCACCAAAAACCTGGGTAATAGTCACCTCAAAGACCTCATCTGGCCGCCACGCAGCCTCTTGCTTTCTCTTGAAACATATGCTTGGAAATAAAGTTTAAGAAAGTAAGTCAAAATGACCAATATTGGAGTAGTGGAAAGCGATCAGCGTTTCTAGAAAAGCCAGACACACAGGGCCTGGCCTTCAGGCCACAGAATGTCGGCCAATCGTAGACCAGGCAGCTGGGATCACATAAAGCATGGTGCACACTTGGGTTATACTTGCCAACAGTCCAGTGCCCATGCCAGGCAAACAAGAAAAACGAGCTACTTAATTAAAATCAAATGAGCCATCACAGGTTTTTCCACAAAGCCAGTAACCATAAAAGATGAAAATGAAAATGGAATTGACACCAGGTCAGGACAGTCACCGCAAACCAGAAGTTTAGCCCATGTGGAAAGCGGTCCGAAGATCCGGCCCTCTGCCCAAGCCCAGAAACTGGCTATCAGGGGCCCAGTCTGCTCTCCCGGCCCTGCCCTGTGAGGGCACAGGGCTCCGGGCAGCTCTTCCCTGGTTCTTCCCTTTGCCATCCACGCTGACTCAAATCTTTATTTCGAAATGGAGATGATCGGTCATCAAGTGCTTCCACCTAGCAAACCTACCAGACAGCACGCACTTCCCAGATGCACAAACCACCCTCTGGGGTGCTTGAGCCTCTCTGAGCCTCAGTTTTCTCAGCTCTCAAATGGGGAGAAGAATAACAGTATCTTTCTCTTACGGTGGCTTTAAGGATTAAATCATGCTTGCGGAACCCTTAGAACAGTCCCTAACAGAGTGAACACTCAACTAGCAGAGCTAGGATTATTGTTACTACTCTCATTGTCATGGACTTCACTCACCTCTAGGCTGTTTCCCGCAGTAGGCCGGGAGGGCCACTCAAGGCGCTGGCTGTGACCCTTTCCTCTGGCGTCAATGAGCACCACTGCACTCGTAGGGCCGCAGATGGCTTCAACCCATCAAGGCTGCAGTGAAATCCCGTGTGTGGACATACCGTGAAACCCTGGACATGGCTCAAGACCTAGAACAACATCAGGGGCTGGGAATCAGTTGTTTGTCCAAAATAATCAACATGAAATACAAAAAAGGCTAAAGCAGAAGGGGTGTTGTGAAAGAAACATTTCTCAAGCAAAGGATTTCGATGAAGAAATACACAAAAGGATTCCTCTACACAAGGCCAGATCTGATATGAGCCTGTCCTGGTTTTAAACTGAGGTGTAGAGCTCCTGAGGGGACAGCAAGCTGCCTTTTCCGATCAGCGCAGACACAGGTGACATGGGCCGCCGGAAGCAGGTATCGTCGGTCTCCTGGTTCTCCTGCTCTGGTTCGCTAAATCCTGAGCCCCGTAACCCACTTGCCCTGACTTACTCCTACCCCACTGCGTGCATCCCCACTGCAGAAGTTCTTGTCCATCTGTACTATCATTTCTCGTTTCAAACAAAAGCTTAAAGTGTTAGTCTATACAATGCCTCAGTACCCATTAGAAAATGGCAGCCTTCTGGATGCAAAAGTTTGCTGAACGCACTCTTCCTGTGGGCTGATGCAGCCTCAAATCAGGGCACAGAGCTACATAAGAGGAGGTAGGGCTGGATTCCAGGCTCACTTGGTCATATGGCCAACTACCCTTGAGCAGTGGACAACCTGTGCAACTGTACACGGTGGCCCAGCTAAACCAAACTGAAACTCATTTCATCATGATGAATGGGACCATATCCTTTCAATAGCACCCCTGACTACCCAGAAACAGGGACAAGGCAAGGTCCCTGTAGTCCTCTGCAAATTCCCTTCTTGAGTCAGTCACAGGTTGCAGATCAGTTATCTGAAAACCTCGATCTTTCCATCAGTTGAAACATCTTCCTGTGTTTCCTGACGTCAGTGTCCCCCCGATGATGGGCCAAGACATCAAAAAACCCAGAGCACTCTACAGGTGGAAGGGCCCCTTATTTCATGGATGAGGGAACCAAAGCCAAAGGTCAGGAGTGCAATGGTGCTGGAGAGGACTCTTGGAATCCTCACTGCTCCACTTCTGCTTTTGTGTTCTTTCAACTTCTCCCTTCGTGAACGCCCTAAGTGAAGAGCCCAGCAGTATCAAGTACTCCATCAAAATTTTGAGAAGACGATGAGGGTGGGTTTTCTGGTCACATCAACCTTTTGTTCTTACTCCCCACCTCTTTTATTAAAATCTCATCATTATCATCAAGTTTCTCTTTCCAGTGACAGATTGTGTATACACCAACATTAATTCTTGCTGCTCCAGGTCTGCCAAAGCACATTTAGGTCTTGACAGATGTCCCTAGATCAAACGGGATGAGTGAAGCAGAAAAGCCCCCACTCGAGACACAAACATCCTCCTCCCTAATGAAAACTGAATAAAGTATGGTGTTTAATTGATAATAATGTATCAATATTGGTCTGTTGTGACAAAGGTACCATAATCATATAAGATGCTAACGATAGGAGAAACTAGGCGTGGGGTACACAGAAACTCTGTGTACTGTCTTTGCAACTTTTCTGTAAATGTAAAACTATCCTAAAATTTAAAAGTTTATTTAAATATTAAAAATAAGTGACTATGTAAACTGAGGAAGGTTAAGATTCTCTCCATATGTGTCTCTATATACAAATATATGTAAAATAAAATGTGAACTTTCTTGCTCAAAACAAGAAGAGGAAAGATAAAGCTGTTTTCAGAGGATCAAAAGCAGAAGGTGTGGATACTCATGATGTGTCCAGAAAGCAATGAACACAACGAAGTGGGCCATCGTGGTCCTTATCTCAGTCCTGGTTACTTGCACAGGGCCTGGCATACAGTAGGGACTCAATAAAAATTCCTTGTTGAGTGAAGGTGATGGAAGTAGAGCTACCAAAGAAGCCAGACAAAGAGCAGTCCAAGGAAGAGGCAAACCTGGACCAAACAGTACTGGGAAAAACAGAGAGAAGAGGATGGTTCTTCTAGAATGAAGCTCTTAACACCTCAGCCACTGCCCTCCACCCTACCTGCTTACAAAAGCTCTCCAGAGGATTTCCCATTGCCTTCAATATAAGGTCTAACTTGCTTAGGATCACCAACGGGACCCTTTCTGATGAGCTCTGTCTCCCTTCCCAGCTCTTCAAGAGCCAAGCCCCCCTCTGACCCAGCACTCGTCTTTCAGACGCGCTTGCATTTCCCCTTCCAAGTCCTGCTCATGCACCCCTCTGGGCGCACGCTCACACTGCCCCATCTCACCAACTCTGAGATGCGTGTCTGAATCAGCCCCACTCATGGCTGGGGTGGACCTCCTGCTCTGTGCTCCCAAAGGGCCAAGCCATCCTCTGCTTCCCTCTTTCAAGGCTCTTATCATTTATTAATTGACTAGCCCGTGCCCCACTCTGGATGGGGGCTCCCTAAGGACAGGCATTTTATCATTTTATCCTTGAGCACCCACCTCAGTGGCTGGGGGATAGTAGAAGCTAAGCTCAGTGTTTTGGGAATAAAGGGAGGGAGGGATGAAGAGACAACGGAGGAGGGTGGGAGGGGAAGAAAGGGTGTGTTTCGTAGCCATGGCTGACCCTTAAGCAGAGCTTACTATGTGCCGGGGATTTTTCCTTGATTAATTTCTTTACCTCTCCCAGGAACCCTGTGATGGAGGGACTATTATTCCCAATTTATTCCCAATTTTCATACGAAGAAACTGAAGCACAAAGAGGTTAAAAAAGTCATGTTCCTGGAGGAATCAGGCTCCCTGACTTCAGACTATACTACAAAGCTACAGTAATCAAGACAGTATGGTACTGGCACAAAAACAGAAGGAGAGATCAATGGAACAGGATAGAAAGCCCAGAGATAAACCCACACACATATGGTCACCTTATCTTTGATAAAGGAGGCAGGAATGTACAGTGGAGACAGAACAGCCTCTTCAATAAGTGGTGCTGGGGAAACTGGACAGGTACATGTAAAAGTATGAGATTAGATCACTCCCTAACACCATATACAAAAATAAGCTCAAAATGGATTGAAGACCTAAATGTAAGGCCAGAAACTATCAAACTCTTAGAGGAAAACATAGGCAGAACACTCTATGACATAAATCACAGCAAGATCCTTTTTGACCCACCTCCTAGAGAAATGGAAATAAAAACAAAAATAAACAAATGGGACCTAATGAAACTTCAAAGCTTTGGCACAGCAAAGGAAACCATAAACAAGACCAAAAGACAACGCTCAGAATGGGAGAAAATATTTGCAAATGAAGCAACTGACAAAGGATTAATCTCCAAAATTTACAAGCAGCTCATGCAGCTCAATAACAAAAAAAACAAACAACCCAATCCAAAAATGGGCAGAAGACCTAAATAGACGTTTCTCCAAAGAAGATATACACACTGCCAACAAACACATGAAAGGATGCTCAACATCATTAATCACTAGAGAAACGCAAATCAAAACTACAATGAGATATCATCTCACACCAGTCAGAATGGCCATCACCAAAAAATCTAGAAACAATAAATGCTGGAATGGGTGTGGAGAAAAGGGAACACTCCTGCACTGCTGGTGGGAATGTGAATTGGTTCAGCCACTATGGAGAACAGTATGGAGGTTCCTTAAAAAACTACAAATAGAACTACCAGATGACCCAGCAATCCCACTACTGGGCATATACCCTGAGAAAACCATAATTCAAAAAGAGTCATGTACCAAAATGTTCATTGCAGCTCTATTTACGATAGCCCAGAGATGGAGACAACCTAAGTGCCCATCATCGGATGAATGGATAAAGAAGATGTGGCACATATATACAATGGAATATTACTCAGCCATAAAGAGAAACGAAACTGAGCTATTTGTAATGAGGTGGATAGACCTAGAGTCTGTCATACAGAGTGAAGTAAGTCAGAAAGAGAAAGACAAATACCGTATGCTAACACATATATACGGAATTTAAGGAAAAAAATGTCATGAAGAACCTAGAGGTAAGACAGGAATAAAGACACAGACCTACTGGAGAACGGACTTGAGGATATGCGGAGGGGGAAGGGTGAGCCGTGACAAAGCGAGAGAGAGGCATGGACATATATACACTACCAAATGTAAGGTAGATAGCTAGTGGGAAGCAGCCGCATAGCACAGGGAGATCAGCTCGGTGCTGTGTGACCACCTAGAGGGGTGGGATGGGGAGGGTGGGAGGGAGGGAGACGCAAGAGGGAAGAGATATGGGAACATATGTATATGTATGACTCATTCACTTTGTTATAAAGCAGAAACTAACACACCATTGGAAAGCAATTATACCCCAATAAAGATGTTAAAAAAAAAAAAAAAGTCATGTTCCTCTGGCTCCAGAACTGTGCTCTTAACCACTATCCAATATTCTAACTATGCACAGGATCGCAGGGACTTATAAAAAGTCGCCTAATCTGGCAAAGAGAAGATTATTGGTGACACTCAAGAAAGTAGTTTTGAGTGCGGTAGAATCAAAAGCTGGGTTCTAAGGGGCTGAACAGTAGCGGAGGATGAGACCAAACATGACCACCTCCCAGCACCAACCCCAGCACACCAGAGGAACTTTCCAGAAGGAGTGCACTGATGACCATTATCTCGGCTCCAACTCCACCGTAAGCATGGACCCATGAGCCAGGAAGCAGGTTTCTCTGCAGTCTTAATCCAATCTTTCCCAATGGTCCCTCTCAAAAGCTGTGGACCTCAGTCCTGCTCTTCAGTTGACGTGACCGCCCTTCACTCCTTGAGAAGGGCCTATGCCTTTCCCAACTCTGCAGCCTCTTGCTGCGCCTGTAGAGGTCTGTCCTTGCCCCACCTCACCCCAGCGCTGTGAATCACAGGAGCTTGCATTCTGTGACGGGTGGGTGCCTCTTGGCCGTGAGCATTTGGGGCACAGCTGTCCGTGTCCTGCCCATCTCAACTGGCACCCACGTGGCCAGGCCCACCCAGCAGATGTGCGCTCTCCGTATTCAGTCCCCAGGCCCCTCCCTGCCTCGTGGCATTTCGTCTCCTCTGTGCCAGGCACCCACCTAAGGCAC